GGTAACCCTGATGCCCCACAACAAAACTGCCACCCAATGCCACCACAGGCTGCACAAAAGACCCAAAAGGCCCACGAATCATGGGACCAGGCGCAAGCAAACAGAGCGAGCCTCCCACCCCCCATCACCTCGTGAAAGGGACGAACAGCAAAAGAGCCGACGCACCTTACGAGAACCTGAGTGGCGGACAGGGCGATCCCCGCGCCAAGCAGAAAAAAACAGTACCAAAGGTGGCGCATGCTCCGAATCTGGCACCACCAGCCTACCACGATGAATGGAACCCCAAGCCCTGGCATGACCCTCCCAGGAAGGCCCCCCATGAGCCCCACGGAGCACTAACAAGCCTGACATAGGTCGACAACTAACTGAAGCCGCCTGCAGGTACTGCACTACCGCAGACTCCGCAAACAGCAAAGGACAAAAAAGCGTAGACAAGACTCAAGGAGCGAAAAGAAATGCTGGGTCGAAGCAAGCAGGCCCTGCTTGAATTCCAGACTCATGGAATTCAATATTTATAAAGAAATGCAAAGTGCCAGTAGCATAGGCACTCAGTATAGTGTGGAGGAAGACCTTGGACACAGGGGAGATACTAGATGCGCTGAAAGCAGCAGACATAGCCCCTCTACACAAGGGAGGTAGCAAAGCATTGGCAAAGAATTATAGACCAGTTGCACTAATGTCCCACATAATAAAAGTATTTGAGAGAGTGATCAGGAATCAGGTCACTAGATTCATGGAAACCAATGACCTCCACAACCCAGGCCAACATGGATTTAGAGCAGGAAGATCGTGCCTCTTACAGCTTCTTGTTCATTATGACAAAATCACTGAGGCATTAGAAGAAAAACAGAATGCAGATGTTGTATACACAGACTTTGCAAAGGCATTTGACAAATGTGACCATGGAGTAATTGCACACAAAATGAGGTCAATGGGTATAACTGGTAAAGTAGGACGCTGGATACTCAATTTCCTGTCGAACAGAACACAAAGAGTAACAGTCAATCAAGTAAAATCTAGTCCTAGTGCAGTTAAAAGCTCTGTACCTCAAGGTACATTCCTTGCACCACTGCTGTTCCTTATTCTCATATCTGATATAGACAAAAATACAAGTCACAGCTTCATGTCATCCTTTGCAGATGATACAAAAATCAGCATGAAAATTACCTCTGTTGAAGACATTGAAAAACTACAAACAGACATTAACAAAGTTTTCGATTGGGCAGCAGAAAATAACATGATGTTTAACGATGATAAATTCCAGGTACTCAGATACGGCAAAAATGAGGATTTGAAACATAATACAGGGTACAAAACACAATCGAATCTGCCCATATTAGGAAAACAGCATGTCAAGGATTTGGGAATAATGATGTCCGATGACCTAACGTTTAGGGAGCATAACCAAGCAAGTATTGCGTCAGCCAGAAAAATGATAGAATGGATTACGAGAACCTTCGCGTCCAGGGATCCCATCACAATGGTTGTACTCTTCAAATCACTTGTGTTGTCCCATCTTGAGTACTGCTCAGTACTCACTTCCCCCCTTTAGAGCAGGAGAGATTGCTGAAATAGAGGGAATACAGAGAACATCTACAGCATGCATAGACGAGATAAAGCACCTAAATTATTGGGATCGTCTCAAAGCTCTCCAAATGTACTCACTAGAAAGGAGACAAGAGAGAGACCAAATAATATACACATGGAAAATACTGGAGGGCCTGGTCCCAAATCTGCACAGTAAAATAACAACGTACTGGAGTGAACGATATGGAAGAAAATGCAGAATAGAACCAGTGAAGGGCAGAGGTGCCATAGGCACAATCAGAGAACACTGTATAAACATCAGAGGTCTGCGGTTGTTCAACATCCTACCAGCGAGCATCAGAAATATTGCCGGAACAACCATAGACACCTTCAAGAGAAAACTAGATTGTTTTCTTCAAGGAGTGCCAGACCAACTGGGCTGTGATGGGTATGTGGGCCTGCGGGCCACTCCAAGCAACAGCCTAGTGGACCAAACTCTCACAAGTCAAGCCTGGCCTTGGGCCGGGCTTGGGGAGTAGAAGAACTCCCAGAACCCCATCAACCAGGTATCAACCAGGTACCAGGCCATACGTACGCAAATCCTCCGCAACCAAGGCAGCCGAAAGAGAGGGAAGCTGCATGTGAAGCTGCAGCTTCACATGCAACACCAACATCCCGCAGGAAGGGCAGGGGCGAATAAACAGGCACTGAGGTGCTCAAAATCGCCTCCCAGGAAAACCCGAGACGCCGTCTGAGTCTCTCACCAGTCAAGTGCATGGGATCGACAGAACGTGTGCCAAGCCTCCAATGAAAAGAGAGGACAGTCTGCCAACCAGGATGACTCCGGAACTTCATAACGAACCCAGTACAGACAAGATGAACCGTATACAAAGGAACGCAGATCCATCGCGAAAGCATAATCCGGGTTGCGCAGGATGTAAGCCGCAAGGGCTTCCTGCACCTCAGAAGACGGGACACAGGAAGCCGAAAACCTCCAGAAAGACCGAACCGAGGAACCCACGGGATCACAGAACCGAACCTCGGGAGAGGCAGAACACCAAATCCAATTCGTACGAAGAGGGAGCAAAGGAGAACCCCTCTCCTTGTAACACTAAGCACCACTCTGAGGGCAGAAAAACCCAGGCAGGGTCCAAAGGGGCCCAAGGCCCCCAAGTCAGCCCCTCCCAAGCCCAAAAAACCTCTCCCTGAGGACTGGGGCCGAGCCAGCCTGCAAACCCCGCGCTTCTAAAGAAAAAGCGGGAACAGCAGAAAAAGCAGGTACGAAGGGGGCCCACTGGCCAGACCCAGAAGCTCCGGCTGAAGGCCCAGGCTCGAATGCCTTCGCCGCAATCCCAGAAGGGGACATCCCCGATACTGCCCGAGTCTCAACATCAACTAGACCCTGCCCCGACTCGGAAACCTTCAGACGCTTTGGCGCCGGAAGCAAGGGGGAGGGGGAACTGGATGAACAACAGAGGAGAAAGGACTAGGAGGGGCAGACAGAACCAGAGCCGAAGCGACTCCCACAAGTTCGGTTCCCTATAAGCAAAACAGGACAGTCTCGGAGTATCCGAGGCCGCAACCAACCAAGCACGTTGCAGCAACCTAAATCTAGCATGCAACGCCATAGCTGCCTGCACCCGCAAATCAATATCAGTGGCTTGGGTGAACTGGAGAACGTTCAGACAACACACGTTGCACGACTCCGGGTCAAAAGAATCACCGACCCAACAGGCAGCATGGCGGAGGCAAAACCGATGAGTGTCACCCTAAGACAAGGGAACAGAGCAACCTACAAACTCGCAAGACGCGAGGGGGGACTCAGAAGTCACATCCATCGGACCACGTAGCCCCCATGGGGTTTACCAGGGTCCTTAGCCTTGGTAACATGCTAAGGGAAGCCCAGGCAGGGTACTGTGAACCGGCACCCAAGTCTACCAAACAAACTTTTAAAGCTAAACCCCTGGGACGTGTCCAATCACAGGGGCCAAGCGGGGAGTACCACCAAAAGTAGAAATTATAGATAAAATATACACCCCTAGTACAGTAAAGGGGACAAGACAGACTCCCCCCCCCCCCCACCAGGCAGAAAACAAAAACAAAAGAAAACCCCCGCAAGAGGACAACGTAACCAAGCGGAACAGAGCCGGCCGCTGTTATAGGTGAAAACTAGCTGTGCGGTACCCCACGCCCCTAACAGTGACAAAAACTACCACCTACCCAGAGACAAACTAGGGCAACAAAACCCCAGCCGACTCCAAGGGCGGCCCAGTAACGAGCAGTAAAGAACACAGAGGAGGTAGAACCCAAGGTAACTTGTGGAAGGTGGCCCCAAGCCCCAAGGGCAGTACTTACAGGGGCACCTAGGGAAGATAGCCCTAGGCACATGCAGCCCAAGTACCGTGGAATCTTACTCCTGGCTCACACTTCACCAGTAGAGACAGTCCACACCACAAGGCACAGAACTGAAACAAAACCTGGAGCCAGAGGCACTCGACCAGCCTGTAATTCCATCAGACAAGAACTGCCAGTTGGATCGCCGAAGTGGAGGGTCTGGGGCTCCCCCTTCCCCCTTCCTGGGGAGGGAGGGGGGGGTTGCGCAGACGGTGGCACGGCGACGTGATGATGTCATGCTAGTTTGATAATTTTGTTTGGGGAGTTCTGTCCACTCATTCGGCTTTCGGTAGCAATATTTTCACCAGAATAGGGGTTTGTTTTGGGGTGCCTACCTTTCTGGGTGCCTATCCCAGTCGATGGCATAGAATGCTCCCAACCACAAGAGGGTTTCTATAGGCCATTGCTCCTCGTGCCTCTCTGAGGGGGGCCAGGTTCTGGCTCGTGGTCCCCAGTAGGCAAGAACTCCTAGCATTTTGACTGATGCCAGAAAGTTATACATATCCATTCAGCCTGGATAGCTCCAGGGAGCCAACAGGGCTCCCCCTAGAAAATAGAACAAAAAAATATTTGTGGCATCTCGCGCTTGTTAAAGTTGGCGTGCGACTGGCTCGGGAGTCTACGCCATGGGCGACCACCCAAACTGTGATGTCACACGCCATTTTCTTTACCCCACTGCGAACAAAGTAAGTACAATAATGATTTTATTTCTACATATATGTGATCAGGGAAGGGTATTTAACATTTTGAAAAGGAAAAAAAAAATTGCAAACAATTTATTTCCTGCGCATCAGGGATTTGCCATATTTGGAGCCCGAGCAGTGTGGTGGTTAAACATGTTATTTTCTGCTGCCCAGTCGAAAACTTTAATATCTGCTTGTAGTTTTTCAATGTCTACAACAGAGTTAATTTTCATGCTGATTCTTGTGTCATCTACAAAGGATGATACGAAGCTGTGACTTGTATTTGAGTCTATATCTGATATGAGAATAAGGAAAAGCAGTGGTGCAAGGACTGTACTCTGAAGACGGTACTATTTTGATATTAAACACAATGCATAAAATTAATATTGAGCTTACCGGGTAAACCTGAAAGATTTACATTTTCTGGTCTCTCTACTTCTGTCTGAGCCTCGCTTTCCTCCTCAGCTTTACGTCTGGCATCAATAAAGCTATACCCACAGTTGCAATTATTTCGACGAATATGGATGACATCATTGCAAGAGGGACAGAACTTCTGCACGCTGCTTTTCAAGACTGAAAAATAATGATAATTTTAGGTATGATAAAGTGTGTAATATGTTGATAATATAATACAGATCTCTGCTTTGCACTATACAGTAACTACTTTGTATGAGCTTCACTGGATACTGACAGTTAATAAAGTGTATGGGTTGCACAATAACTAGACTATTCAGGAAAATTTGCTGTATTTGCCGGCGAAAAAGACACACCCCTGACCTAGGATGCACCTCTATGTTACAAGGATATTTTGTGGAAAAACCCAGTGTTGTAGTACCACATAATGAAATGCCATATTCTGGGTGAGTCCCAGAGGCTTCTCGGAGCTATCCAGGCAGATAAGGATACCCGAACTATTTTGCATCAGTTAATGTGGGTGGAGTTCTAGGCCTACCAGGGACCATGAGCCAGAACTTGGCCCCCCCTCACAGAGGCATGAGGAGCAATGGCCCATAGAAATGCACGAGTGATTTGGAGCATTCTATATCTGCCATGGACCAGGACAGGCACCCAGAAAGGTAAGCACCACAAAACAAACCCCTATTCTGGTTAACCATTAACCCTTTAAGTGCGCAACACATTATATGATGTGCAAGTCACTGAACACATCATATGATATGTTCAGTGACTTGCAGTAACTTGCACACCACATCATATGATGTAGTGCATGTATCACGGTATATGCAAGATTTAAACGACCCACAGATACACGAGGTTCACCATACCTTCATCAGGACTCTTGTAAACAGACGCCATTTTAAAAAAAATCATGGGCCAAATTCCCGGGTGTTAGGGGCCTCAGTATTGAGTGAGCTACCAAGCCTGATGCACGGAGCATGAGCTCACAACACTGCTGTTCAGCTTGTGGCTACAGCATCGCATAAAAATGCCATAATATACATGTTCATGCAATTATTTAGCGATGATATTATTACAGAAGACCCCTGACTGTGATAAAAATGACCAGTATTCTGATAATAGCAGGATTGTTGTGATAATTAGCGCTGTAGTGGTAGAAGTAATCTTGGTGGGGAGGGAAGTAGCATTGTCTGCTGACTCTGTGTGACCACCTTTTACTGTCTGGACTCACTATACCAGCTTAGTTGTTCGCTATGGAAAACAAAACATGCAGATACTTATATATAATGTCTGTATATAAAAGCAAAAACAGTATGGTGGGAGGAGAATGGTGGCGAGTCAGGTGAGGGAGGGAGGGAGTGGCAGCCAGTGGTGGGCTGCCACTGGCTGCCACTACCACAGCCACTCAGCATACCAACTTAGTGGCCTGTTATGGTGAACACGAATGTAGATACTTATATATAACGAGTATATACAGTGTAATAACAGCAAAAGGAATGTGGGGCAGAAGCTATTTTGGTGATTGGGTGTGGCAACATCTGCATGATTTGTCATGTTGGTAGGGGTGGCCACTATGCTCTTTGGGCATTATACCGGCTTAGTTGAACAGTTATGGTGAACAAAACATGTAGATATTTATATATAATGTCTGTATATAGGGTAATAATACCACAAACAGTATTGCTGAGGTGAAATTTTAGTGCGTCTGACCTTGAATGTGTGAGGGAGGCAGCCGCCACCTGACTGTGTAGCGACGTCTCTTAGTGCCTGAACTAACTATTATCAACTAGTTGTACAGTTGTGGTGAGCAAAACATGTAGATACTTATATATAATGTCTGTATATAGTGAATAAAATAAAAAACAGTATTGTGGGAGGAGAATGTGGGTGAGTCAGGTGAGTTGAGGGAGGAAGTAGCAACCAGTGACGAGCTGCCACTGGTTGCCACTGCCACTCAACATGCCAACTTAGTGGTTCGTTATGGTGAACACGAATGTAGATACTTATATGTAATGTCTGTATATAGTGAATAAAAGCAAAAACAGTATGGTGGGAGGAGAATGTGGGCGAGTGAGGTGTTGAGGGAGTGAGTGGCAGCGAGTGGCTGGCTGGTGTGTGGCAGTCACTCCTCGTTTCTTTTTTACTCATAATACCAACTTAGTGGTTCGTTATGGTGAACAAAACATGCAGATACTTATATATAACCTGTGTATTGTCGGGATTCTCTCTTGTACTTAAATCCTGGCAAGGTCGCCAAGGTCGAGGTGTCTCTCCCTCTCACCAGTCACCACCAAGTACTAGTAGTGATAACTGTTACTTACTGTAGCCCTGCAGGTCTTCACTCAATCCTCACGGTGCCACTGTTCACCTGGAGAGTCTCCCAGTCTATCTCCGGCCGGCCTCTTAGCCTGAAGACGAGTGGGAACACGATCTACTCTCTTGATCCTGTGCCCGCCCCGACAGAGGGCTCTACTGCTAACTAAAAGGTCGCCAACTGGTGTTTACCATGTCCAGTAACACCTCAGAGGAATAGTAATATAGTAGTGATAGTAGTGGCCCAATAGAACACTAAACAAATTTGGTATCAGGAAAGTATTTGTTTCAATCACTCTCTCTTTTCAATGGACTCAATAGCAACAAAGTAATGGAGGGATAACACAAACACGAAGGTGGTTTTGTATTTTACTTAAAAGATTAAAGTATTATAATTCTGGATCAGCAACAAGGCAAAGAAATACAGGAGCTGCTATCACTCCCTCTTCATAAATCTGGAACACTATGCTATGGCAACACTCCCGGCTTCCGCGCAATTCCCACGCTCCAATTACAGTGTCATCGAACGTTTGGCAACTCGCGAGATGCCACGCCCACTCATTCAGTTCACTGTACTTTCGCTCTGCTCACTGTACTTCACTGTCGGCATGAGGCGCCCATTATCCCTTCATGATCACAGTATATCACGGTACTGGCGTTAACACAGTAAATCACTATACACATGAAAATACTATTCAATAACTCCAGCATATATATAGATCACTTCATCAATATTTATAATAATGAGGCAAAACTGGGCACACAGCCTAACACTAATAAATTGTACATTTATATATATATATATATATACCCTCTGGCACAAACTTATAATATAAATGACATGAATATAAATGTTCTCGCCACAGAAATCTCTTCATTAAACCGCAGGTGCAATCACACACCGTAAATATATATTTCATGAGAGCTCTATAGCCTCTCCTCACAACTGTGTCTCACTAGAAACATAGACACTGCTGAGCCCTGCTCACGACATAGAAGATACTCTGGCTTATAGCTAACTAAAGAGGAATGGGAGGGAAAACTGAATTACCTACTTCCACCATCAATGACGTGGACTCGCCCTCTGTTGAGAGCTGAATTGAAGCTCCTGGTCCCGGCTCTCAACTCGTTGTAGGGAACACCCCCACACACACACTGATGCTTTTCCCAGGAACTCAACCAACACCCAAAAACGCGTCTTCTCCGTGCTGCTCTCCTCTGCAGGCTCCGTGCAGATCTGTAGTGCTATTATGTCAACTTCTTGTGGATTGGCAGTCATTATTTCGTTCACGTTTAGGTGTTCTTTCACCAGCACAGCAACGCCACCGCCTTTCCTAGTTTTTCTATCCCGTCTCCAAACTGAGTAGCTCCTTGGGAATATGACCTCATTTAAAATAACATCAAGTTTTGTCTCTGTGAGTGCAACAATGTCTGATGTCTGCAGCTGTATTACATCACTTAACTCCAGTATCTTCGATCTCACTCCATCTATGTTGGTGTATGCAATCTTCAGGAACTTGTTGCCCCTCTCCTTATCCTTCACTCCCCCTATTGCTATTATGTCAACTTCTTGTGGATTGGCAGTCATTATTTCGTTCACCTTTAGGTGTTCTTTCACCAGCACAGCAACGCAACTGCCTTTCCTAGTTTTTCTGTCCCGTCTCCAAACTGAGTAGTCCCTTAGGAATATGACCTCATTTAAAATAACATCTTCAAGTTTTGTCTCCGTGAGTGCAACAATGTCTGATGTCTGCAGCTGTATTACATCACTTAACTCCAGTATCTTCGATCTCACTCCATCTATGTTGGTGTATGCAATCTTCAGGAACTTGTTGCCCCTCTCCTTATTCTTCACTCCCCATCTCTCTAACAATTTAGAAAGTCACTATCTAACAATAGTGACCTGACACCTGATCATTCTCTCAAATACTTTTATTATGTGGGACATTAGTGCAACTGGTCTATAATTCTTTGCTAATGCTTTGCTCCCTTCCATGTGTAGAGGGGCTATGTCTGTTGATTTAAGCATATCTGGTATCTCACCCATGTCCAAGCTCTTCCTCCACACTATAATGAATGCCTGTGCTACTGGCACCTTGCATTTCTTTATGAATATTGAATTCCATGAGACTGGCCACGCAGCTGAGTGCAGCCAGTCTCTTCCAGCCATCAAACAAGAGAAAAGATAGGGCTAATGAGTGGGTGCTAGTTTCATGACATTTTATATCATTTGTTTGTATAGTTTTTGGAGTTCTATGGTGCAATTGAAGGTGGCAGGTCCTGAAGGCAGCCAGCTGAGGTTTATTTTGACTCGCTGACTTTTTTTTGTGCCTTCCTCGGTGGGGCATACATGAATAACTTAATATATAAATGCCATAGCTCCCTGTGTTTTGGTGAGGGGACTAGGTTCTGGCCCTGGATCCCCAGTATGCCAGAGAAGTTTGCAATTGATGGAACCTAGTCGATGGAACCTACATCAAAGATGGTAACTTCAGGAAGCCTCCGTGGCTCACCCAGAAGCTGCCATTTCATTACATTCGGCACTGGTTTGTTTGCTTTAATAAATTGTAATTAATGAAATTTATGTTGTCTATTTTGATATTAAACATAATGCATAAAATTAAAATTGAGCTTACCGGGTAAACCTGAAGGATTAACATTTTCTGGTCTCTCTACTTCTGTCTGAGCCTCGCTTTCCTCCTCAGCTTTACGTCTGGCATCAATAAAGCTATACCCACAGTTGCAATTATTTCGACGAATATGGATGACATCATTGCAAGAGGGACAGAATGTCTGCACTCTGCTTTTCAAGACTGAAAAATAATGATAAAATTTTAGGTATGATAAAGTGTGAAATATGCTGATAATATAATACAGATCTCTGCTTTGCACTATAACAACTTTGTGTGAGCTACAATGGATTCTGATAGTTAATAAAGTGTATGGGTTGCACAATAATTAGACTATTCAGAAAAATTTACTGTATTAACCGGCGTAAAAGACGCACCCTCAGCTAGGATGCATCTCTATGTTAGAAGGATATTTTGTGGAAAAAACCAGCGTTAAATATAATGAAATGCCATTTTCTGGGTGAACCCCGGAGGCTCCCTGGAGCTTATCGGGCTAATGTATGTTATATTAGACCGGGACATTAGCTAAGGAGTTCAGACCTACCAGGGACCAGCGCCAGAACCTGGCCCCTTCAGAGAGGTTTCAGGGAGCAATGGCCCTGGAAAACCCTCTTGTGGTTGGGGTTTCCTTATCTGCCATTGACCGGGGTCAGGCACCCAGAAAGGTAGGCATGACAAAACAAACCCCACATGGTAAAAAACTAAAACAAAAAACCGAACAGAGAGGTAGAAACTCCCTACAATCCCAAGGAAACAAGCAAACATCACACTTTACTGCCGCGCCGATCGTCCGCGCAGCCCTCCACGCCCCAAGAGGGGGAGGGGGGAGCCCCGGACCTACCGCGCCGGCTGCCAAGCTTCAGTTCGGAAGCTTAGCTTCAACCAATGCGAAAAAAATGCCGACAGGTGGGAGAGAGGGTTGCCAGGGAGCCTCCGGGGCTCACCCAGAAAATGGCGTTTCATTACATTCAATGCTGATTTTCTGAGGGGAGCCCCTACGGCTCCCTGGAGCTTCATACCCAAAGAGAAGGAAAAGAAAGGGCTAACCCAGGAGGCGGCTGCCACAAATTCCGCAACGCGAAGTCGAGACAACAGGATGCAACCTGCGACCCAAGGCAACAAGAATGCACAGGAGCAGATGCGCATAAAGAATGGGCGGCCAAGAACCTGTGCGACCCTCAATTCCCTGCACCTGAAATGAGCCCTAGACGTCACCAACACAGCAGCAAAAGCTGCAAACGTCCGAACGGCACGGGCACAAGGATAGACCGCAGGCTGGTAGATTTAAAAACTCTGCTAACGACCTAGGAGACCCGAGCCCTGAAACAGGGAATGAGGGGAACCGGATCAACCCAAAGCGCATCTCCAGTCACGATAAGCAGGTAACGGCAAAGAGTTGCAACCGAACAACACATGACGCACCCCCAGCCGAACCAACCAAGCATTACTGTCTCCACTCGATTATCCGGACTATATGGGAAGGACCCCCAGCCATTTACCATTATTTTATTTAAAGAGACCATTTACCACTATTTTTATACTACAAAGAACATAATTTGAATTGCCTTGCCACATATAATTATTAAATATTCAACTAGAAACCTCAACTTGCCTTGTTGGCATTCGTCTTCTTGAGTGGTGCCACACATCTTGAAGTTAAGAATTCTTAACAATTTACGTAACCTATACTATGACAACACTAAAATTAACACTTAATATTACTGTACAGTTCATTAAGCAAAGTAGTTTTGACTGCCAGCTGCTGAAGCCTCACTGGTTGAAGGCATTTGGGTTGCCTGTGAGGCCTCACTTGTTGAAGGCGCTTGCTTGCACCTCACTTATTGAAGGCACTTGGCTTACCTGTGACGCCTCACTTGTTGAACGCGCTTGCTTGCGCCTCACTTGTTGAAGGCGCTTGGCTTGCCTGTGAAGCCTCACTTGTTAAAGGCATTTGGCTTGCCTGTGATGCCTCACTGGTTGAGGTGCATAACACGTAACATGTCTTTAATTATTAGGACAACCTTCTTCCTCTTAACACCTCCAGAACGATTGATGCTGCTACCAGACATAGTCTTGGCCAAAAATGTTCAAAGTTACTATGAAAATAACAAACTTATTTAAAAAAAATATTTCACTAATGGTGCGACACTGTAGTATAACACGAGGGACGGGAGCACATGGGTTGACCAGTGTTGGACGGGTCCACTTGGGGCAGCTATAGCACGTTACGTAGGCTGCCAGGAGGAAAATCTCACAATATTTTTTAAGGAAACTTCAGCCTGTACACATTGTTTTTAGGAAACTTATATATTTGATATTACATAATTACTAGTATTTCTTTTGTTTTTGGCTATGATTAATTGTTCTAAAATTAATGGTAATTCCTGTACCCAGGTGGTCTCTCCCAACGCTCCCCCTCTCACCCTTCCGACACCACCCACCCACCCCACCCCACCCCTTCCTCCACAATGCGCCTCGAGCCAGCCAGCCACAGCCAGACGAGATTAATACGGTATGGCCTGCCTTATAGCTTTCATATCCGGACAATTCAATGATTATCCAGCTGACTGTCCGGATAGTGTAACATTGGCAGCAAATTAACCGGCTCAGATTTTTTATCCAGCTAAACCAGCTTTTATCCAGCTCCCATGGCCATTTTGGCCTGATATTGAGATAACTTTATCCGGTCACGATTTTGGCCGTATATGGGTGTTTTCCAGATGTTCAAATCCTGGATAATCGAGTGGTTACAGTAATAACCCATGGACCCCTCCAGAAAGCAGCCGTTCCAGAAAGCTGCGAACGTACAAACCTACCACCAGTACCAAAAGAGCAGAAACCCTTGCACCGGAAGAGAGCCAGAAGATCCCTGACCCGACCCGCAGAGGCCCATGCTAACAAAATATGGCATATGAAAAACAATCTTAAACCGAAGGGGCTACCAGAAACTGAGGAGAAGAAAGATAAGAGGGCACCCTGATCAAGAACCAGGATGGCTCAGGCGATGCATGAGCAGGCCGGAGGTGAAACAAAATACGAGAAAGAGTATGTAACGGGAAGGATGTGACGTCCGCCTCGAACGCAACCCAGAGCGGCTCTGCCAGCGCTGCACGAAACGAGGCGACAGTAAGAAGCATCAAATAACAATCCTGAAAACCGAAGAAAGGACAAGACAACCCAATGCGAAAGAGAAGACAACCTACGAAGAGCAAGAAAATGACGAATAGAAACACCAGGAATGTCATACTGTCGTCGAGACGAAGCTTGCAGGTGGGACACCATCAATGAAGCTAAAGACGGTGATACACCCGCATCAAAACACCAGATGCGAAGAGCCGAGGAGAAGGACGAACCATTCACATATAGGACCAGTCCGACCTGCCGAAAGAAGCGGAGTTGCGGGAAAACGCCCCGGGTTTTGACACCTATCAATCTGCATCTGAAAATAAGGCTGGGCCAGCTCCCAAGGGACCACGAGGACTACTCTCCTAAGGAATGGACTCCAACTGAGCCAAAACCCGAAGCAACAGCTGAAACGGGAGAAGAGAAACATACCCCCACCTCGATCAGTCCTGCCGTAAGGCATCCACCGTGAACGCATCGCAGGTGGGTAAGGGCGCCAAAAAGAATGTGAGACGCCGAGACCACGCCGACGCGAAGAAGTCCATGGCCAGGAGTCCATACGTCCGGCAGAACGAATAAACGAGTCGGTGACGACCGGCCAACCCGCGAACAGAGGAAAAAACTGAGACAGGATGTTCGCCAGGACGCAGGACACACGCCAGACATGAACCGCACGGGTAGCCAAACCCCGAGAAACCAGCAAACGAGCCACTCCAAGGGACCAACCTCAAAGGTCAAAGACCTAAGAGAAACTCTGTGGTTCCGGCAATGAACCACCGGAGAACAGTCCGAATGGAGCTGGATGGTAGAGCACCAAGTGACCCGAACCCTCCGAAGTGCAAACCACACAGCCACGAACTCCTGACCCGTGCTGTGAGCTTGACGGACGGACAGACCCCACCATCCCCGGTCACAAAGCAATGGTCACAAAGCCCCAGCCGAGAGATGACCCGTCCGTGAACACATCGAGCGAAGGCTCGGGGAGGTGCCAAGGCACGGAACCCCGAAAACGCTAAAGAGGAAGCTGGTGACGCAGCACCAACACAAGATCCCCGAAGGACGAAACCAATGATTGCAAGATAGGTGGAAGGAAAGTCCCCGAAGGAACCAAAATGACGCCAAAGCCAAACCTGACCCTGCGGGCAGACCATCACGTCTAAGTTTAAACTCCCGCACAACTGCTCGTGCAACCGCTGAGCGACCCAGGACCCCCCCCCCTCATAATCAGCCGAAGGCGGGACCACAGCCGCAACAACGCTTTTGGAGGGAAAGACAAGGAGTGGCTCAAGAGCCCTAAACAAGACCCAGCCAGGTCTGAACCCGGGACGGAAACAGATGGAACGGCCTCCAGATTACCAGGAAATCAAACCCGGCCATCTTGAAAGAACCAAACACCTTACGAGCAGACAAGCGGACCGACTGGAAGCCCACACCAGCCAGTCGTCAAGGTAGGCCAGACACCGAATCCCTAGCAGACGCAGACAGGGCACCAAGATCCGGTAAAGATGAGTAAATACACCAAATGCCAACTACAAACTAGGGAAGGCAACAAAAGCGGCAAGCCTGAAGCCACACCACCAACTGTGCCAGTCCCAGAACCCTGGTGAGGAACGTGCCAAGAAGTGACCCAGAGGTCCAGGACCACCATCCAGGCACCCGGCCCCAACAGAAGCCGGACTGGAGAAAACATTCCTCCGAAGAGGGCAAGGAATCCTGGGCGCAGACTGAACAGGTCCAGAAGAACTGCAGATCTGCAAGGCCCGTGTTTGCATAGAGCAGACGGGAACCCCGGAAGGATGGGGCGGATCGACCACGTCCAAACGCACCCACCAAGATGACATGAAGAACCGCAGGGAAAGAAGCCCACCCCACCAGCCCCAAACCCCCCAAAGGGGGAAAAGCCGTCTGCTGTCAACAGAGGCCGGAAGACAACCAAAAAAGGGCCACTAACTGCAGGACCAAGCGAGAGCCAACAGAGCAAGTTGATCCCCCAGCGCCCCCATCGACAGTGAAGGGAACGGAGCCCCTTCCGAAAGAAAAGGTATATATATATATAAATA